GGTCTCTGCTGCTTTCCACAGAGACTCCGGGAAAACATCAGTGAGCCACCATCAGTCAAAATTCATATTAGTGGTCAGTGGGATTTAAAATTATGAGTTTGGTGGTCCCTGAGGTCCAAAAGGTTGGCGACCCCTGTTGCAGATGACTCCTGTTTTTTCTTCATTGAGTCTTTTGGTTTGCTTAAAGTATTTTGAAGGGCTTTAGCTGGCTTGTGTGTATTCTGATTCCATGTAACTGTAGTAGTCTGTGGGTGGTTTCTGAGATATTCTTGATGTATGGCAATGTATTTTTTAGGGTTTGTGTTGGTTGTGTTGTATTGAGTTGAGTCAGGGACTCTTTTGCATGGATATCCATTTTTCTGGAATAATTGTATAGATGTTCAATTTTCTTTTTCTGCTGTTCTGAGTTGCTGCAGTTCGGGCTTGTCTAAATAAACAATATCCCAATCAAGAAACTGCCAAAGAGCCAACAGTAAACAGCCCAATCAAAGAATCTCTAAGAGACCAACACTGATAAGACAAGCCACTAGAATATAAACTGATGGCAAACCGCAGACTAGCTCTGGTGATATTATCTAGGTTGGGTAATGAAACGTCTGCAAGAAAACAAGCCAGCTCAGAGAGCACAAGGACCCCTCATTTCAACTCTGAGCTACAAATATTCTCCTTTAATGGGAATGTTAGGTATGTTTGCTGCTTTCAGTTATTTATAAAAAAAACAAGTAATTCTTAAATGTGATAAATAAATAAAAATAAAGATGGGATAAAAATAAATACCCAGATCTATAGGCTAGAGTAGAAAAATTTTAAAAGGGCAGTGACAAATTACTTTTGTATTGTTAACAAGAGCAACAACTTCTCCATGAAATCACCAAAGGACAATTCCAGTCCTTGCTTCAATTATTAAAAACAACCACTGGAAGATAATATATATACCACCCTGACACAGAGGTAGCTGTGACTTCTTTAAAATAGATTTATTTATTTCATTTATATATTTGTTAGATTTGTTGGTATCCTTGAGTAAAGTTAGAAGATTCAAGTGGGGGGTGGTCGGGTGGGCATGATGGCTTAGCAATTAAAGATGTTGAGCTTGTCAGCTGGAAAGCTGACAGCCTGGGTTTGAGACCCAAGCCCTGTGCGACAAGGTGAGCTTATGTGACTTGCTGCAACTCCCACCAACCTCCCACCAATCAAAAGCGTACAAATGCGAGTAGATAAATAGGTACCACTTTGGTGGGAAGGTAACAGTATTCTGTGTGCCTTAGCATATCTTGACCACAGAAGTGTCTTCGGACACTGCTGGCTCCCTTGGTTAAGAAATAAGAGGACCATCCCTAGAGTCGGACACAATTGGACAGGGGAAACCTTTAGAAGACACAAAAGAAATGATACTTGTGCAAATAAGAGCCTTTATTTATTTATTTATTTGATTTGCCAATTGTTTACAAGATAATAAGTATAAGTGTATACATAGTTGTGAATACATGAAATGGGTACATATAAGAAAAATAAAAGAATAAGAGAAACAATAGGACAGGGACGGTAGGCACGATGGTGCGCTTATGCACGCCCCCTACAAACCTCTTAGGAAAGGGGTGAGGTCAATAGTAGACAGTCTAAGGTTAAAGTTTTTGGGGTTTGGGGAAGAGACTATAGAGTCGGGTAGAGTATTCCAGACATTGACCACTCTATTGCTGAAGTCGTATTTCCTGCAATCAAGTTTGGTGCGGTTTACTTTGAGTTTGTATCTATTGTGTGCTCTTGTGTTGTTATGGTTGAAGCTGAAGTATTCATTGACAGGTAGGACATTGCAATGTATGATTTTATATACCATGCTTAAGTCAGACCGAAGACGGCGTAATTCCTTTCTTCAGTGAGCTCTTTTAACTATTTCTGGAAACTTTGTAACACAGAAGAGTGTTATGTATGTTATGTTTGATGAAGTCGCATAACATTCTCAGAGACTCTTCCCATCCTGCTTATCTTTATGAACTGTTGCCTTCTGGCAGAAGATACAGAACAATTAAAACTCGGACCACATGTTTTCTGAACAGTTTTTTATCCCAGAGCTATAATTGCACTTAACAATGAACTTAAGGACCACCATCAGTGAGCTGTTGGATAGTATTACTTAGTCTGTTGTGTGGATGCTTGTGTGTTTTTAAGAGGTGGGGAATTTTGGCAGGTGGGGGTGTGTTTGGAGATTGTCATGTGTGTGTATGTTGGGTCTGGTCTCTGGGTATTATGTGAATTTCATTGTATGTGTATACTGTGACAGTATACTATGACAATAAAGAAGTATTATTATCGTAGGTATATATGTGTTATTCAGTGAATTAAAAACAATTGTCTTCTTTCCCCTTTGTTTTACAAAAATACAGGCAGATCTTGACTTATAATCAGTTGTTAAGTGACCAATGTTACAACGGCACTGAAAAAAGTGAGTTATAACAGGTGCTTGTATCTAATGACCATCACAACATCCCCATGGTCACTTAATCATAATCAGGGGGTCTTGGTAATTAGAATGTATTTATGATGATTGCAGTGTCCCAGAGTTGTGTGATTGCCAGATCTTCCCAGCCAGTTTATCACAAGCAAAGTCAATGGGGGGAAGCTGGATTCATTTAATGACATGATTCACTTAACAATCGCAGTGATATGCTTAACAACCATGGCAGAAAAGGTTGTAAAATTGGAAGCAACTCAGTTTAAAGCTGCCTTGCTTAGCAATGGAAATTCTGGTTTCAATTGAGGTTGTAAGTCGAGGACTACCTGTAGAATGTAACAGTCATTCGAAGCAAATTGGCCTTTTTTAGAGGAGTTCCTAAAATTTATCATCCTGATGCCGGACTGAGCATTGCTGAAGATTAGAACAATACAGGGAATCCTCAATGTAAGATCACAATTGAGCCAAAAATTTATGTTGCTAAGTGAGAAATTTGTTAAGTGAGTTTTGCCCCATTTTACGACTTTTCTTGCCGTATTTATAAAGTGAATCACTACTGTTGTTAAATTAGTAACACAGTTAAGTGAATGTGGCTTCCCCATTGACTTTGCTTGTCAGAAGGTTGCAAAGGCGATCACATGACCCTGGGACACTGCAAGTGTCATAAATATGAGTCAGTCGCCAGGTACCTGAATGTAAATCACATGACCATGGGGATGTTGTTAATGATCGTAAGTATGAAAAATGTTCATAAGTCATTTTTTTCAGTGCCATTGAAACTGTAAACCGTCACTAGGCAAACTATTGTATGTCGAGGATACCTATAATATATATGCATCTGGCTTTAAAAAAAAAAAGAAAATGTTTTAAAAGGAAGCTAATACTGACTGCAATATCATATCCTGTCAATTACTAACTTTATCTGGATGAGCAACTTTTACAAAGATCTAGTGTTTATTGTTCCCCAAGATATTGATCATGTCAACAGTAGTTTCTCTGTACTAACAGAACAATGTCCACTTAACCTTTGTAAAAAATATTTGAAGGGAAACAGAACTAAACATAACTGCTGAAACTTGAACTGAGAAAATCTGTTTCCATACTGAAGCTGGTATTTTCACTTCAACATTGTTGGTGATAATAAGTTGACATTGAAAATTTGATCCTTTGAACCATTTTGGAATTAACTGTTTGGGAATGACTATATTTACTCATTATACTGAGGCAGATGTACAGTATTTAGACTGAGATCCCATGTCTGCTATACTTAGAAACTTCCAAGAACTGTTGTCCAATTGTAAGTTTTAACATGAGAAATTAAATACATGACTGATGATTAATTGTATTAATTACATTTAACTTTATTATAAGAGTAAATAAAATTAAAACTAGTTGAGCATTCTTCCTACACTAACAGGTATGTTTGTCAAATTGAGTTTATAAAAAGAATAAAGGCAGGATAAAAATTAATAAAATATACGTAGAATAACAGTTTTTAGAAGCATGCTCAACAGGATAATGAATAAAGAATACAGTGATAGGCTATTGGAAAACCTTTTAAAAATGTTTTTATTTGGTCAATAGCACTTTGTTGAAAAATTGGGTGCAAACTTCAGAATTTTCAGGAATTCTTAAGCTCTATGATTAAAAAATCAGGAACAAAAGTTAATGGAACAGGAGAGGTAATGTAATGGGCTGAGTATATGCTTTGTGTTTAATTATGGGTTGTTTTAAACCATAGTTTACTGAATAAAGCACCATTTGATACAGATACAGCAACTAAGACTAAAAAATGTTGCAGGATTTGGGTTTGGCTAGTCTAGAGAAAAGAAGGACTAGGGTGGACATGTTAGCAGTATTCCAGTATTTGAGGAACTGTCACAAAGAAGAGGTGGTCAACTTATTTTCCAAGGCACCAGAAGGCAAGATAAGAAGCAGTGGATGGAAACTAACCTAGGAGAGAAGCAACCTGGAATTAAGAAGAAACTTCCTAAGAGTGAGGACAATTAACAAGTGGAACAGCTTGCTGTCAGAGGTTGTAGATGCTTTATCACTAGAGGTTTTTAAGAAGAGTCCCTTATCTGAAATGGTATAGTCTCCTGCTTGAGCAGGGGGCTGGACTAGAAGACCTCCAAGGTCCCTCCCAACTCTATTCTGATAGATTCAGATAAAGCCTGCTTTGCACGAACTCAGTGAGGCTCTGCGGCCGCCTCCCTTTCCCAGCAAAGGCCCCCAACACGAGCAATAACCATGAGAGGCTGGAGGACCCGCCAGCCTTTCCGCAATGCAAGCGGGTCCGTCCCACAATCCCACTGTCTTCCATGCCCCGTCTAGGCTCTCACCGCTCAAATCACATGGTTACGCTTCGCCTTCGCGCTCTCGGTCTCGTTCTCTACTACGGCGCTCATCTCTATGGTGAATGGCGGATTATCGGGCTCTTCCGGAGAAGCAGGAAGTGACGTCAGGGGAGTTCTGGAGGGAGCGGTTTTGATGCAGCTCGCCTCAGGGGTTAAAGATAATAATAATAAAAAATATACCCACAACCAGATCTGCAGCTCGCCCGCCGGCGGCGTCCTCCTCGTAATTTCCCTCCTTATCGATCTTCTTTTGCGGGGCGTCCATTCTTCACCGCTTTCGTACCGTATTCCTGCCTCCGCCTTTTGGTGACCTCTCCCCGCTCCGGGTTCGGGAGCCGCCCCCTCCGTTTCTCAGCTGGGCTTCAGGTGAGCCTTCGGGGGGCGGGAGGGGGGACCCCTCCGGATTTTTACCTTCCCTTCCCCTCCCCTTTTGCGCGGCGTGGGGAAGACTGACAGGCGAGGCTGCCGGGTCTATTTTGGGATGGGGAAAGGAGGCAACCTGAGGCGGTGACGGTGCTCCCGCACCTTTGGAGAGCCGTTGGACTACAACTCCCATGGGTCTCAACTTCTTTGCCCTCATGCCTTTGTAAGGGCATTGGATTATAGCCCTCCGTCTCTCCCATCCAGTGAGCACCCCCGCCCAATTTGGCTAGAGATGGTGGAGTTTATATTTCTTGAGCTGGGGATGATTGGACCCATAGCTTTTACCATATGGCCTTTTAGCTGGTGAGGGGGAGATTTGGGAGAACAAATATTTGTGGTTTTCAGGAGCAATTGTTCGCTTTCCTGATGATTTGGTACTAAGGTTACAACGATTCTTCATTTGGAATTTTCTTTCTCTCTTACTATCCATGTTTCAGTCTTTTCCTTGCCTGTGAGAAGAGATTAGTTTTATAAAGAAGTACTTAGGGATTTTTGCCATATATGAATGTAATGTAACTTTAGAGAGAATGAAAAAGGAAAAGGTAATCGACCCGAATATGTGTGTGTTTATGTATGTATACGTATATGTATATATAGTATGTGCATATATATAGTATGTATATGTATGTATGTATATGTCTAAGTATGCATGTATGTAAGTATATATATATAAATATATTAGCTGTTCAAAGTTACACACACATATATACACACACATACACTTATATATATGTATATATACATATATATGTATACGTATACATACATATGTATATGTATACATATATATGTATATATATATACACATATACTACAAACACACATACATATATAGTCAGATTAGCTATTCAAAGTTAAATGAAAGTCTCCTTCCTTCCATTCTTCTGAAAAATATTTTAAAAGTACTCACTGTTATTTGAAAAAGGGTGTTAACTCAAATGCTTGCTCCAAGGCATATCCTTTATGAACAATTGAGGCAAGTTAGGAAATTAGTATTGGGTACACAGCCAATTCATTTTAGCTGACCTGTGGTATTTTAATGAGCTGATAAAATTACCAAATATATAATCTCTGTAATAAGATTATATCTTTTCATAATTTGAGGATTTGTTAAAATTCAATATCTGAATTTTAGGTAGACCCAGCTTTAAAAAAACTGCAGCTCAAATAATGCTTAAAAAAACATTATAGTACTATAAAATTTTTGGTCAGTGATAGAATATATGCTCGGTGTGCAGATGCCTCAGATTTTGTTTCTGCATTTCCTGATAAGATTTAAAAATGTTAAAATGCCAAGTTATGGTACACATTTAATTTTAAAAAATGAGTGCTATGATTGCTCAATGAAATGTTTGGTTCAGATTCTTGCACTTCTTTTCTGAATTAGGGATGCTGTAAGTTCAGTGCTTTATTATTTGATTGTGTTATTTACTTTCAATATGTATGTTTGGCATCCTCATAAAATAAGGAATAATGAGAAATATAGAAAATTTTCTTGTCTTTCATATAAAAATGGATAATGGATAATATGAGAGGTATCTTTTAACTTTATTGAAATTAGTAATTACTTCATAATATTAAATATTTAGCATAGTAATTGTTAAATAAATGCCTGTTAACATTATCTACATGCTATTCTCATTATGTTTATTTCTCCAGATAAGAGTTTTATTTTGAACTACAGTGATGGTCAGAATATTGAAAACATTAAAATTAATGAAGAACCTCCTTGTGGACTAATAAATGTAACAATAAACAAACTGTCAAGATAAATAACTACAGTTATAAGTAATTTGAAGTACTATTTATTAAATGCATTTGAACTGCAGTGAAAATGACTTAATAGTTGACACAGAATTTACAATACATCAATCCTTGACTTACGACCACAATTGAGCCCCACACTTTTATTGCTAAGCGAGTCAGTTGTTAAGTTATTTTGCCCCATTTTATGACCTTTCTTGCCAAAGTTATTAAGTGAATCACTGGAGTTGCTAAATTAGTAACACCGTTGTTAAATGAATCTGGCTTCCACATTGATTTTGCTTATCAGAAGGTTGCAAAAGGTGATAATAGTGTCTCCGGGGTCTTATTTTGTGACCTTCCGACAAATAACATCAATGGGGAAGCTAGATTCACTTATAACAACCATGTTACTAATTTAACAACTGCAGTGATTCACTTAACAATGGTGGCAAGAAAGGTAAAATGGAACAAAACTCACTTAGCAACTTAGTAACAGAAATTTTGGGGTCAGTTGTGATTGTAAGTTGAGAACTATCTGTACTGATTGCTCAAGCTTGTGAAGATTAAGATCTTTCATCCTGAAGTAAGAGCGATCTGCTTCTAATTATTTCCTCACTGTTGTATTTATTATATTTTGGACAGTGAGACGAGTGGCATACAAATTAAATGTCAGGATTCCAGCGATCGCCCTGATTAAATCATAAGCCTCGAGCCAAACTTCAAAAAACTTCAAAGGATTTATTAGGAGTGACATACTGGCATGACCTGTATGAAGCCGACTCTGAGATACGTAATTTACAATCACCTATGACCCTGTTTCCCTCCACCCCTCTGGGTATATCATAATTCAGATTGTCCAACCAAACACGTCCATGGGCTGGGTGTCATCAATCATGCTGTCCAATAGAGGATTTTCGAACCCAGAATACCTGGTTGCCTCAGTTACAATTTTGTGAGATAAGCTTGGAATATGCTTCTGAGTTCATTTGCTGTATGCTCCTTTAGGGTTTTTATCCCCTCTTTCTTATGGCAACTTGGAAACAGGCATAGGAATGTTTTACAAGTTGACATTAAATACATAAAATAAATATTTCAGTGTGCTTGTTTTTTGGTTTCATAGACAGCAAACATCTAGTGCTCCACATGTAAATACCTTTCATTAAGGCTGTCCAAAGCCCTTGACAGTCTTAGCAGAACCAGTTTGTATGACCATGGAGACACAAACAGCTGAAGAAAGCTTCCAAGTAACTCCATGAGCCTTGTAAAAGATGTGGTTTCTCTAAAGCCTCCAAGGAAGATGATTTGTTTGATGCTGAGATCCATCACAAAGTACTTCTGATTTATGTTATACTGTACAACTTTATTTTGTGTAACTTGTGTCCATACTGTTCTAGTGGCATTTTATTTATAGTGCTTATCAAAAGCTCATATTAGTTTCTATGGGAGACTGTGGTCCTACAATATGCACAGTGCTTACTTTCAATGCTCTATATTAATATTTCAGCAGTGTGTGACCTGGGTTTTCTGTAACACTTCTTTGACTTTGCCAACTGGGTCTTATTCTAGATTAAAGTTCTTTATTATGAAGCTATTTCATCCTTTTGTTGTTGTGATGATGTTTTTGTTTTGGTGCTGACATTTCACTCCTGTAAAGTGTTCTATTTTGTCAGATTTTATAGTGGCTCAGAAATTATGGCCAGCATTAACAGCACAGGATAAAATAAATTAGACTGGTAATCAATTGCTGTCCTTACTGCAAATACTATTTTGCCATTAAACACATTTAAAATATATCTTGCTTTTCTTTCACTTTTGCATTGGTTGTCACTCTCTTCAACTCAAGTGTACCTGGCTCAATCTTGTCTTTTAGCCATGTGTGAAATGGAAGAGAGAGAACTTACTTGAGTAGGCATCATGGATAACATATGTTCAGTGCTATTTCCAGTATTTTTTCTTTACTTAATATAAACTTGTAGATCATATCTGTCAGTGAATTAAGTATAGTGCCAGCTCCTTTGTGAGATCACTTTTGGCACAGTGTTTTGAAATGTTATCTTTTATCTATATTATGACAAATCTATTTAAACACATGAGGACTTTGCTAACTACACATAGATGAAATGTCATATAAACATTTGTAAAATAAACATTAACATTCTTCAAATGTGCTTGAATTGCCTTTCCATGAGATAAAGCTGCTAAACCAATATTATTAAATTGGCAATAGAGTCAATGTTAAAAAGTATTGTAAAAAAGTTGTGGTAATTCACTGTTTGCTTTTTTTTTTCTGCCTAGAAAGATAGGAATGCAGATTTCTAGAAGAGAGGAATTAAGTTGGAACTCTGCACCTAGCACTCCAGATTGTAATTGAACCCCCATTTTGTGATTACTGTAAAAGTTGGTGGCTCATTTGTTACAGAAATTTAACTACGGTATGTGGAAGGTCTAATTTCTTAGTGATTGTTTATTTAAATGATTAAAAAAATTCCTTGAGCATTTACTTAATGTCAGTTATAGTCATGGTCAATTTATTAGACAGCAAATAGAATTTCTACAAACAAACAAAAGTCCACTGCTTAACTAATCCGAAATGTTTAGTAAACTGTTGCCGCACTTCAGTGTGCTGATTGGCATTTTACAACTGGTGTCAAGTCATATGGTTGTAACTGAATTAGTGTTGTGTCATTGACTACAGTGCTATATTTGTTTTGCCTAAAGTGGCAGTAGCTTTGAAATACTTTACTTGGAAATAGTTTACAGTGAAAATTAGAGCCAAATTTTCATGAAATGGTACAACTGTATCTGGACTGCAATATTTCAGATGCCAGGAGGGGGTCCTATTGCTTACTATTGCTAGATAGAAAAAAGCTACTGTTCATACCTTTCATTTTTCATGCAAAATCATTTTGAGTTCTATTAGTATATCTTGATCTCATACCCTTCCCACTTCTTTTTATAGTACCTTTAAATCAAGACTAACTTTTAATGAAAAGTCCATGCAGTTTCCTTGAGAAATACTTTGGAAAATGATTTGCTGTTGTCTTTGTTGAGAAAGGCTAACTGTGCTCACCCTTTTTAAAGTGATCCTTTCCCACTAAGGCTCCCATAAATATCTTTACTTCTCAAATGCCAACCAAAATGGGATGTTGGCTAGGAATTCAGGGATTCAACAATCTTTTAGGTACCAAACTGGAAAAGGAAGCTCTATAACTTTCAATGCATTCAGGTGAGAGAAAAATATTGCTGAACAACTGATTATTTGATTAGCAGAATCAATTTTATTGTAGAAATTCTAGCAAATTGTTGAAGAACTAGTTTATCTAGATCGATTTGCAAAGCCTCATTCTTTTTCAGAGTATGCAATTGTATATAACATTTTTCACTGTTAGGACCAGGCGGCTGAGGAATTCTGGCAGTTAAAGTCTACATAGCTTAAAGTTTCTGAAGTTGAGAAATACTGGCTTAGACCATAAAAGGAGTTGATTTTTTTAAGGTCCAGAAGACTCTCCAAAGGTCTTCTGCTTTTACTGCAGAGTGTAGCTCAGCTTCCCTCTGAAAATCTTGTTATCTTTCATATTGCATTAAGGATGCAACATTTTAAAAAGCAAATTGCATCCTTTTATTCCAGCATGTCTTTTGAAAGTGTAATTTTATAATAATTCTATTTGAAATTTAGGTCCAAAATCACAGTCTGAAACAGAAAAGAATAGAAATTTTGTCTCAGTTTGCATATTCATTCTACTACTTTTCCTATTTTTATGTAATTTTCAAGGAACAAGAAAGGAAGCTGGCTGCTTTAGTCATCCTTTCCGTGTTCTGACACTTCTGGCAACCAAAGATAGTCTGTTAGCTTTCAGATCAGATATGCCAGTGGAATTCCCCCTCCCTCTTTTCATTACATAACACATTCTCACTGTCAACCTCTGATAAGCAAGATTATGAGAATACCAGCTATTTCTGCGTTAGGTAATTTAAGAGGGAAACCTTAGAGCACCATTGCTAGAGTTTTGAGCTTGATCTTTCTTGTTATTCATGGAACATTTAAAGCAAATTGATTATACTTGAATATAGAAAGCATTCATCAAGAAATGATATATAATTATCAATTGTTTATTTTGTTATTGTGCAGAATACTTTTCTAGTTCATGTGTAAAATGTATCAATATGTGAATTATTTAAAGTGAGTGATTTTCTATCGTGCACTTGATCTATTTTTATATAAATGAATTGCACTTGTGAGTGTTTGAAAAGGAATTTAGAGCTGACCATGGGGATAGGGAAAAGATGAACAAGCCATTAAAAGTGACTTGCAAAAGAAAAAATATACAGTTCTTACACCAGAGCTAAGATAAACTCTTAATGTTACTTCCGTAAGATGGGACAAAGAAACTTCAAGATAATTCTACTTTAGTACAATTAAAAAATACTCCTAAATCCTATCATGTCTATTTCTTGACGTGGCCTACCTTAACAGTATTTAAGGAATCATATGCTGACATATTATTCAAGAAAATATAATGCTAAATCAGAGTGTCTGTGTCATTTTGGGTGGAGAGTTGCTGGATTCTCATCTGATAATGCTAAAAAGTTACTTGATTTGTATTCTGCCATTCTTAAGGGCTCTGAGCAGTTCACAAAACATCTAAAGAAGGAACCTCCCAACAAAAAAAATTTAATAAACCCACCCAAGAAGAAGAATTGAAAAAAACCCTCATTCAATACCACCAGGGACAAAAATAAATCTGTCAGGTATCTGCTAATAAATGTCACTATCCATTATTTCCATATGTGAGATAAATGGAAAATAACGCTCTTAATGGCTCTTCTGAAACCCATCTGGAAATCAGATCAGATCTCCGTAGAGAAGGCGTTTGCAAAACATAGGGCCACTGCCCTAAAAGAGGCCCATTTCTTACATCCTATTAGATGACATTTTTATGAAGACTAGACCTGGAAGGTATTGAGTCTATTTAATCTGATTTGATGGCCAGATGAAGAAGGGAAAACGTCCTGTATATAACCAGGTCCAAGGCATAGTCTTAAAAATGACAAAACCATATTGAATTTTACCCGAAACCCAACTGGCAACCAATACAGCTTCCAATACAGTGGGAAGGGGGGGTTGTTTGTCACCTGAATATAATGGGAAACAGCCATAGCCATTCTGAATGCCAAAATTAAGGATAGCACTCTGAGAAGTGCATTACTGCAATCCAAATGAGAGGTACCTAGAACATTAATTACTCTGAACAGGGCTTCCTAGTGTATTGTACATTCAAGAGGACTCCCATGTTTGTTGATTACCTTTGAGCAGATTAGTACAACTAGATTCAGAATCAAATATGGTATTGGATTTATTTCATTTATAAACTCAAAGCCAATGTTTTCTTCTTATCCAGAGCTAGCAGTTTCTAGGTACTGGGTTAGCATGTCATCTGTTTGGTCCAGATCTGGCACCAGCCATAGTCCCGGGAGAGAGTAAGTTGACGTCTATTAAGGCATCTAGAGACATTACTCCACACAAAATGATTATCTGCTTATTGGTGGAGCAGGTCTCTAGATGTGGTTCACATACATCCAAAAGTTGCCTATATATACTTAAATATTTTGGGAAAATAGTTCCAGGCAACAAAAAGAAACATAGTTTGGGTTCTTGAAAGAAGAATTGTAGTTCCAATGTACTATTAGTTAATTAGAAAAAAACACCCTTGTTTGTGTGAGTCAGTGTCATTCAGATGAACATAAATATTTTAATCTCTCTTGCCATATCAGACATGGTGTATATTTTGAGGGAGCAATAGTGGAATGAAGATAGAAATCTGGTTAAAGCTTCACAGTAAAGTGTTTTATACAACTGCATCTAGTAGAGTCAGTAGGGCAGAGCAATAGAAATTTTTCATAAATTAAGGTTTTACTTCATCTTCAGCCACATAAACTCCCTTTGGAATAGGTACTTACTTCCTCAGGCCAATTTACCTCACAGGATAATTTTTGTGGGTGGGTGGGTGGTAAATTGGAGGAAAAGAGTGGAGAGTATGCTGCCTTTGAGGAAAAGGTGAGAGGTCTTTAAAAAGAAAACAACATCCTGGGAAGTTTGCTGAAACAGAGAAGCCGCCTTAGCAGGAATAGTCTTGCCACCTTTCCCTTCCCATATCCATTTGCTCAATCATCATAAAAACCAAAATATGCCTTTGGTAAATTCCATCAAAAGCCATAGTAGCACTCTTTGCCTGCAGCAGTGTCATGAAAATGCTATTAGGTAGGGTTGCAGTTAATATCTCCTATGCCTTACGACCTGGTTGTGACACTTGGGCTATTACTAAGTATTACTTCTCTGCCTGCTAGAATTTCCTACCCTAAACTCATGTCAAAATATAGTGAGTTTAGATCTTTCATATGTAATGATTTCATGTGGCACTTTGATTTAACCATGCAACTGGTTGCCGTTAAACAGAATTGTATAGTCTTACAGATGTCTTTTGGCAGGCATCAATGTTGAGGTGGCCTGAGCAAGCTGAGTAAGCTGCCTGTGAAAGAGGCTTAATTTTGAGACTTACAAACTGGTAAGTTGCAAGCTTTCAATCCATCAAAAGATAGATAGACCTTAAATAGGTAGTCCTCAACTGATGACTGCGATTGAGCCTAAAATTTCTATTGCGAAGTGAGACAATTGTTAAGTGAATTTTGCCCAATTTTATGACCTTTCTTGCCACAGTTGTTAAGTGAATCATTACAGTAAGATAGTAATGTGCTTATAATATCCTCATTGACTTTGCTTATCAGAAGGTCACAAAAGTAGATCACATGACCCTGGCACACTGCAACTGTCATAAATATGAGTCAGTTGCCTAGAGTCTGAATTTTGATCACATGATCGTGGGAATGCCACAACAGTAGTAAGTGTGGAAAGGGGTCGTAAGTCACTTTTTCCAGTGCTGTTGTAAGTTTGAACAGTCATTAAACGAACTGTTGTAAGTCGAAGACTACCTGCATATATGCAGAAATACTGAAAATTCAAAAGGATTCACAAACTTTTAACCATTAGTATTGAATGAAAAATAACTATTGACATTAATATAAGTGAATATAGGATGGCAGCCTGAAAAAGAGTATAAACTATATCTAGAGCTATTTATACATGAAGCTTTTTCTGCTTTGTCTTTGTGATGTATTAATTTGTGGAATAATCTATACTGGTTGTGAAATAATCTACATTGCTGCATCCAGTGATGTCCTTAATTTTTGTATATATTACTGATATTTATGCATCTGATGCATGATCATGGGTGATAGGATGTTGGTATTGTAAAACACAGTGATAATGTCTAGCTGTCTAAGCTGTTAGCACTTTGTGAGTAAATAATTTTTATCTGGTTCCCAAAATGGATTTTTTTTTTTAGTCTTATGCCTGGTCTGTTTCTCTTTTAATGTTTAAGCTGTCTGTCTAAATCTGACTATAAGATTATTGGTAGTCCTCAATTTACAACCAATTGCTTAGTGACCATTCAGAAACACTTAGGAGCTCAATTCAAAGTTCCAACAGCTGTGTTCACTCTCTCCCCTAGTTGCATTATGACGTTATGGCTCTTGGCAAGTGGCTCACATTTATGGTCATTTGTAGCATCCCATAGTCACGTGACCACTTGCCGGAAACAGATATTTACTTTTGGTTTCCAGGAAAATACCTTCTTTGTGGGCAATGCTTTATGACCATGATTTTTGCTTAATGTCCAGTGCAAAAAAAGGTAAAATCAGTTATAGTTACGTGGTGACTCACTTAACAACTGGCACAAGTTACAAACATAAATTTCAGGTTTTATCATTGTTGTAAGTTGAGGATCATCTATATAGCACAGACTGTTTTTAAGTAATACATAAGTAACAAACAATAGATTCCAGGTTTATTATATATTACTTGTGGTTTCTGGTGTTTCTTTTTCTTTGAGGTGGAATTGAAAAGTATTAAAAGAAAACAGGAAGTTTTAATGTTGTAAGATAGGAACTGACTACATACCTCAAGGCTAGAGGTTTGTATGTACAGAGTTAATACAGAAAGAAGGAAATGCAAATCTCTGACAGTATAATCCCAGTCTAACGATACAACTATAACCGCTGTCACTAAGTGATGCAATCACACGATGTTTTCCCTAATGAACACTTCATTTAGCGATGGAACTTCCTGTTTTGATTAAGATAATTAAGCAAGGCCTACCTATAAAAAGAAAGAATTGTTGCTGGTTTTTAAAAAAAATAAATTTTATTCAAAGTTTTAAAAGCAGTGTAAAAACTGACACAAACTAACTACAAGCTAATAAAAAAGAAAAAAAATTATATGAGAAAGAATAGAAAGAAACTTCCAATTTCTTCTGCAGCAAATATTAATATCGCAACATTATATTTTATTATGATTACAACAATCCTCACTTTTTTTCTATTCATTTTTTCTAATCATGAAAATAATATATCGTAAGTGCATTTTTTCTTCTAGTTAATTTAGCTATCAAGGAAAGTTGCTGCATAAATGCTAGTTACTTTTCAGGTTTCTAAGAAAGAGTTGTTAATTATTGCAGCCAAAACTAATTGAATTTGAGATAGGTAAAGAGATGGAAAATGGTCCTTGCTTAATGGGGTCATCTATGGTGTTGGATTCAAATAGGGTGCAGTTCACTTGACACTGCAAAAATGTCACATAGTTTGATGGTTTAAGGGAACCAAATTGTTCATGCATGAGTGAGAGAGGTTGAATGTTCTGTCAGGTAATTTAGATAGTTTAATCGAAATTCATTTATGGAATTAAAATTTAAGATGCATAACGGTGGCTTAATAGAGGAAAGTATTACAGCATTAATAAATCTATTTCATAGTACCAGTAGGATTAATTGCTGAAAACTTTTGGGGAAGTTTATCTCTGCAGTAGAGTTTATGGTCATGAAATTTGATATAGAACAGATTTGATTAATGATTGTATTTATAAATTGTTACAGTTTAGAATAAGGCACTAATGCAGTTTTTGAATCTAAATAATTTGCTTGTCATTGCCATTCAGACATCATTCTCTTAGGCTCCTGACTTCAAATTTGTGTTGTGGAAGTGAATATAGATGTGGGTTTCTTAGAAGCACTTTTGATTTTTTGTAGGGTTTGCATTTGGAAAATAGTTATAATTCAAAGGGATTTTTGTATTTATGGAATGGCTTAATACTTGGCAAATAATATTAAAATGTGTGTAGTAAGGTTTTTCACTGTTTCATTACTCATTACCGTAACATCTTACCACAATGATATATTTTAGTAGGATTAAATGTTTCCCTTACATTTACTACTTAGAAAATAATTTCTTACATAGATCAAATTATAATATTTAATACTTGGCTTTAGTTTATCTTTACAGCTATTGGAAAGTGATTGTTTTGAAGTAATGCCCACAGAAAGTGGAAGCTGTGCCACTGCTCGCCAAGCCAAGCAGAAAAGAAAATCTCACAGTCTTTCTATACGAAGAACCAACAGTTCTGAACAAGAGAGGTCAGGATTGCAGAGAGAGATGCTGGAAGGCCAGGTAAATTGGATGGAAAGAGAGAGCTTGATTTCTGATAAAAATAGATTAATATCCTGATAAAATCACTTAATACCCCAATTTTGTCTTCTCTACAAGGTCCTAAAACAAACCTAAAATCCAATATCAAAGCAAGGTTGAAATTTCCTGTTCAAATGTAGGGAAAATACGTCTTATACTTGGATATATCTCTGGGTTTCTTCACTTACTATCATGACAATGTCCAAAAGTCTTTGAGTATACAGGTGGGCCTCGACTTCTGACCACAATTGAGCCCAAAATTTTTGTTGCTAAGTGAGACATTTGTTTAGTGAATTTTGCCCCATTTTAGGACCTTTCTTCCCTCAGTTGTTCAGTGAATCACTGCAGTTGTTAAATTAGACAGATGGTTGTTAAGTGAATCTGGCTTCCCCACTGATTTTGCTTGTCAAAAGGGAGTCACATCACCCCGGGACAGTGCAACGGTCATAAATATGGGTCTGTTTGCAAGTGTTTGAATTTTGATCATGTGACCATGGGGATGCTGCAACCGTTATAAGTGTGGAAAAAAAATATCAAAATTCCCTTTTTTCAGTGCTGTTGTACTTCAATGTGGAATTACATACAGAAACTAAATGAACTGTTGTATGTCGAGGACTACCTGTATGTAATTCATTTTCTGGCAGTAGTATGAATTCAATCTGTAGCAGATAACACTTCCTGAAATATGATTCAGTTCAGTTCTGTAGATGTGAGCTGCTTTGTTTGGGAGATGGCTTGAGTTCTATTATCTTAGTCTTTTATTTTTTTGCCCTTCAGTATATATAATGCTTCAACAAACATAGCATTTTCCTGCAAGTTTACTCTAGGGAAGTTTATTTGAACATTTACATTTCAAACATAATTTTAAAAACTAAGTCATTATCTTTCACAATTTTGAATCAACAGCAAAATCTGCAACCAAACTCTTTGTAAAATCTCGTCTTTGCTGTAGGATTGAACTAAGGGATACCGATTTGCTTGTTATATCTTTGCTTGTTATATCTGATATGTTATGGATTATTGAACTGAAGGAGAAGGCCCTGCCAAGGGTAAATTATTGTTAGACTGCCTTTGTACACCATTATTGATTTAAAATTTCAAAGTTTTAAAACAAGTTAACTATCAGGTGTGAACATCCACACCCTCACATATAAACTAGCAACTTCATTGTTCTATGCCTATTTGATAGGAATCTCCTCAGATTGGCAGCTTTCACCTGAGAAAGACTAGATAAGGCTTAAAGACATTCAAGGCAGGGAGGTCAGACCTTGCCCTCTTGTGCTTATGTAACAGCTGGACTAATTTCTCGCTTGAGCCCTTCTCCCAAGTAGGACGGTTGCTCACCAATAGTAACTTAATCATTATGTGATATTAAAGGCAGAGCCTACTATTGTAATAGAAATTTGCCACGTTTGAGTCATATGGATTGTTCTCTTTTGTCTGAAATAAAGCTATTTCATTAAGGTATAAAATTTATTTCTGCTTCTTTGTAGATTTACTGAAATCTTTGTGTGTGTGTCCTTAATAAGGCTTTGTTTACAGATCCATTATTCCTGTAATTGTCCTTTCTTCAAGCATAGCTTTGTATAAGTCCATTGTGTGGAAAAAGTATGATTTGAGAAAAAGTGGATAGAAGTATGCTTTGAAACCTGTACTGTGGAATAATGGAAATAGGAAGCTTTGCATAAAGGGCCAGTTACACAAAAAGAACAAACTCTTGGAAAATTCTGCATTAACTGTGATATTTTTGTTTACCCTAGGATTCAAAGCTACCATCATCCATTAGAAATACACTTCTGGAACTTTTTGGTCAAATAGAAAGAGAATTTGAGAACCTCTACATTGAGAATCTTGAATGTGAGTTTATGTTTGTACAATTTTGGGCAAAAATCTTAAATTGGAGTAAGATGCTGATGAAAGATGCTAGATGCAAGACTGTAATTCTGGATCTCTGTTCCCATAAATTATACAATAAATCTCATGTGAACTCTGAACGGTCAGTTAAAATGTCCAGGTTACCTGAAATAAAAGCCTACATACTTATTTGAGATCTCTAATACTAGTGCTGATTAATCCCAGGAAAGATAGTTTGGTGCACATTGCCACATTTAGCCTAAAATTCCCATAATCCTGTTCATTGAATATTTTAGTTGTAATTGATGTCCATAACATAATATTTAATTGCATATACATTTTATTCTTTTTATTTTAAAGATTACTGGGAAAATCATTCAGATATGTTAGCTTTTATGTTTGCACTGTAATGCTAATTCATTTTTTGCAAAATATATATATATTGTACCCTGACTTTTGGATTCCAATGAGCAATGATTATGAGTCGTTGTTTTAAATAGTAATTATATTTTGCTTTTGTAACGTATGGTTAAGAGATAGCATAGAAAAGGTAGTAAGAAACAAGGAATGTTTTATTTCTCAAATAAGTCATCTATGAAAGTTATTCTCATTTTGCCTTTAGGAATGTATGGAAAAGGGAATGTTCTACTCTGCATTATCTTATGAATTGCACACTAAGACTATTGTCCATTGGTAGAAAGTTTGGAGGGGAAGCTTGTTTCCACGTTTTAACTTACTCAGGAACACTGGGTGATTTGATTTCCAGCCTTGGGGAAGACCCTGTCAATATTCATCCAGACATTGATTTCCCCCTTCCGGTATTCTGTTGACTTGGGAATGAAGATCAGAGATCAAGGCTCTTGGAGCCAGTGTGTATAGCCTTCCCTTGGTCTTAGAATGCCTAGGGAATCATACTATCTTTTGTATGTGTGTGATATAAAAACTGAAAATATGCCTACAAACATCCTGGTACATTTGTAAATCCTCTAGCTGAAGAGCTACAGAGGCTCTTGTTGATTACTTGTGTTCATTTATGTAACTTTCTGTTTGCAGATATCCAGACTGGATGCTGGATATGTTGTGTTTATTGTTTCCAGTTTGGAGTGGAATTACATACAGAAACAAGTTATTTGGCAAGCAGTGGCTTCCTGAATCCGGAAGGGAGATACCAAACTTTTCCTTCCTCAATTTTCATTTAGTTTTACTGATGGATATTTTGCATAAACATGAATCTCTTAGAAGCAGTACTTTAGAATTAAGACCCATTGTCAGAGTTTTATTCTAGATATGGGCGAGTTAAATTACCTTTGGATTATTTTTATAATTGTGGCATGCAAAGAAACACAAAAGATATTGAAATTATGATCCTGCACATAATTGCCTTTGAGATAAGGGTTATGTGGTAATTTAAAAATCGTGATTAATGATTCTTCTTTGCATTGACATTAATTTTTGTGCTACTGATAGTACGCAGAGAGATTGATACACTTAATGAACGCTTAGCAGCTGAAGGCCAAGCCATTGATGGAGCAGAATTGAGCAAGGGGCAGCTGAAAACAAAAGGTAAGAAGAGAGTTGAGAAAAATATTTCTCTCTTAGTTGGTTTTTCATAATTTAGGATGACAACCAGTTAGAAGGATGTTAACAATCAAGTAAGGTAATCCAATGTGTTTCAAAACAAACTTTCTTTAAATGTATTTGTTTCAACAGCCAGCCATAGTACCAGTCAGCTGTCTCAGAAATTAAAGACTACTTACAAGGCATCAACAAGCAAGGTATGAAACATGTCAAGCCTTTTATTGAACTACAGTGTACTTGTCAGTTTAGTTTTACTTACTTTTTATTACTGCCTGTCTTCATGAGGTTGAACTTTTGAAGTTGATGCCATCCGGGTGTAGTCCCATCTCATTGCAGAGATTGATAGGAGATGTTTTGGGAGGCTGATCAAGATTAATCATAGAATTGCCATTTGGTCTTGTCCTTTAGTTATAATTCAGTAAATAAATAATTAAGAAAAGAAAATAGAAAATAGAGCGATGAAATGAATTTATAGTAAATGTCAAAAGCTTTTTCATAAGATACAAAGAAAACAAAGTTATTTTTATTGTGAGAAATTTTTTAGCAGTTAATTATAACACGGGAGACAGAAATTGTTAAATCCATTTTGCTCATTACTTCAAAGTCATTTTTATTAGGTCCTTTTCCAAAAATTGGGTTGCATCTATTTGAACTCATTAATTCGACTTATATTTAGAATTATCAAACATGGACCAACTGTAAAATGTTTACTAAATTATTTATCTACCTGCAAGTAATTTACACTTATGCAGGAGAGAAGGTTATGTAATAGTATTATCTCTTTCATACTTGGAAATTATCCAAACTGCATAAACCAATCCAAAGTCATATCCACTTAATAGTTTCTATCTGACCATCAGTTGTTTACATGCCAGGGTTATTTTTTAATAGAAAACATCTTTATCCTTTGTCTTTCTGCAGTATTGCTGTCATTATGCACTTCAAGGATGAAAATGCATTTTGTTCTCTATTAATGTTTTCTTTAATCTATTAAAAAGTAGAGTCTTCAGTTTTTAGATCACATATAAGTATGTATATTCTGTATTGTAAATTTGCTGTTCTTTGAAAGCAAGTGCTGAATGCCTATCTTTTCTTACTTGCTATGTAGCGCTCAAATTCTTTCCCAGGGAGATCAGGTGGACCTCGCAAATTCCATGTGGGAAGCTGGGAAATATGGGGTGGCGACTCTTGGGTAACTGCTTTGCTTCCCAGTGTGCCAATTTGCATGCCCAGCTAAACAGTAGTGAGTGGTGGAACATACAGAATTTCACTTCAATCAATTTTTCTTCATGGATATTATATTTCTCAATTGGTGCTTTACCTAGAGGACTTTCTACTGCTCATGTTTAAGTATTGCGTATAGATATCAATTGTTAACAGAAGAAATGTTTCCTGTTTACTGTTTTTATGGTTATGAATCCCTGAGATTGGGTAGGCTATAGTTTTTATTACGGCAGGCTTAGTCTCTTCCTTGGCACAGTGTTTGCACATTATGTCTGCCTTTTTTGTTGCTATAATGTCAATTCAGTTTTGATTTTAAAAGTACTTCGTTAAAAACACTTGATTTACAAAAAATGTTAGTGAACAATTTAATCTGACTTCTGAAAACATAAATAAATTGATAATCCTACCTAGAACTGCCTGCAGGCAGAATAGCAGTACTATCGAAAGACAAAAATTAACCAGAAGCTAAGTTAAACAGTAATGTCTTGAGCAGATTCCCAAATCTTGGAAGACAGAGCACTTATTAGGGAGGAGTTCAATAAATAAGCATATTTATTTTAAATATACACATTATATATCTTGCTATCTGAGTGCTTAAGTAGCTCTTAAAGATAATGTAGTGTCTGTACATATCATAGTCATTTGGTGAAGAAATGTTCACATTTGTTTGCCACCAATGCCTGATCCATGTAACAAGCTTTGATGGTGGCAAAGAGCCTTTATTATGAACTTTGTGGGTCCTCTCTAGGTCTATTTCTTTAACAAATCATAATATAAATCTATAAATTGTCTGAACTGTTCATAAAAGAGAATGAATTTCCTTTAAGGTTTCAGAAATAGGAATATTTCAACAATCTTTTGTTGTAGTATGGTGAAAATGTTTAAAATAATGCTTTGTAGTAATAGTAGCATTTATTGATTGCTGTAAGAATAATAATAAAATCATCCACATTAACCAAATTCACAAAATATAAGAATAAAATGTGTGGGCTGCGAATCTAAGAATTGCATAACTAATTTGAGGTGCTTTGTGAGGTTTTCAGGAACAATAATTCGTTTCCTGGAACACAGCATGGCAAATTGTATTTAAAACTGATTGGCATCTGTAAAGGTTGGTTAAGTGTAATTTTTGAACACACTATTTTCTGTGGTTCCCAAATCTTCCTGCTGAATCCCAGAGGTGAATGTCTCATAAATGTGTATCTTTCTTTAAACTAAAAAAATGAAAAGAAAAATATGTTTGAAAATTAATAAGAAAACCTGAGAACATTGGATTTAATCATGCTGAGTTATGCTCTTGGGGATTTCACTATCTCAAAATAAATAATGAAAAAGTCAACCTTAAATTACCAAGATGTTGCCTGCCCTTCTTGCAAGTTCCTTGAATGAGATTTTTGACATTTTGGGACTGTAAATTTGTCTTCCTTTAAGAACTGTGCCTTATGGTTGTGATCAAAACACACACGAATCATTAAATGAAAGCCCAAGGAGTTGTTACAGGAGTCTACAGTACAAATTCCTCTTGCATTAACTTGCCAGACTGAAATGGTGAGCAGGATGATTATTATAAGAAAGTATGGTGAATTTGCATTTGAAAACTTTGAGCATTTGAAGAGGGAACTATCTCATTTGCTAGACAGGAAACAGTCTAGTTTTGTCTTCTGCTGTGCACAGTATCATGTACTGCTCTTAGAATGTGTTTACTTGCTTCAGATTAGTCAACAGAATGTGCAACTAGTTAAACAACATCGCCTTGACTTTATTATCACATGATTAGACTTCCTTAGGAACACCCATATTTATAAGTCACCTTTTTGAAAGGAACATACCCATTTTGTAGTGTAAAAAACTCCCATTTTGTAGTGTAAGATGGGGCATTTCTAAACTCTTGTCTATGTATATACGCTAAGAATTGAAATGGAAATTTTAATAGTAGTGGTTTAGTGTGCATATTAGTATGATTCCCTGGCTCTGCTTGCTGAACATAACTTGGTGACTATTGCACTGGGACAGTGGCTGGCCCCTTTATTCACGTTTTGAAGTAGAATAGAAAGTTTTGATGTTGTCCCATTGCTGTTTGTGATATATGAAAGGACACTTCCATTATTGTTTTAAAAGTAAAAGGAAACTCAAAATATGAAGTAGCATTAAAGATAATATTTTAAAGAAAGAGGGGGAAAACACTGTAGCCCCTGAAAATTAAACTAGTCAATTACAGGGGTGCAGAAGATTTTATGAGGAAACTAAAACATTTTATTCCTCACTATGTCTTATTAAGACTGATAAGGTATGGGAGACCTGTTGTGATAATATATTCTACTGTTCCACTACTCTTACATAACTCCATTTTGTTTGAAGATGTGTATTAAATTTCAATTGAATTTTAATACTGCCTTGACAGTTTTATGCTTAATGCTACACTATGGTTCCAATACTAATCCTTTCCTAGTTCTGCAAGAATTAACCTGTTCCTTTTGCAGTGCATCTGTAGTAATTATTGCTTATACTGGCTTGGAAACAATTCTTCTCATTAATAACTAAATTATAGTTCCATATAAGTCTCATTTCATTATTGTAAAGATAAATAAAGAAGTAAAAGCTGAAAACCATATTGTTGCAGCTTTTTTCTAGTCCTTAAATTTATTTTTTTCCTCCTGAAATTTTAATTGAACAAATATAAGATGCCTTATTTTTTTTAATCACCAAACATTCCTAAGAATATTTTCAATAACAATATTTGATAGATGTTTTGCTATGTTTGATGATCAGATAATACCTTTTAAAATTTAATTATTAATTTAATCTCATTTTGATTTAATTAGGCTTTTTAAAAAAACACTATGTAGTTGATTCTCATTTCTAGGGTGATTTTAGAATTTACATCATTTTAAAATAAAAATTGCGTACAGTATATACCTAGTCATTTACTGTGGCAAAGGTATCCAACTATAATCTTTCACTGCTATTGAAATACTCTTGGAATTCTATACTTCACAATTACATGAATATTTTGTCATATTAGACAGTCGCATACCTCAGTTTACCATGAAATCTGCTAGATCCAGCTTAGTGATACTTAACGTAGAGTCATTAAAATCAGTACAATGAAAATAGGTTACAACCCATTGGTTTTTATATCATTCCCTTACTCCAATGCTTGGCGAAAAGCCTCAGGAAGTTTTACCTTTATTTCAGAATATAGATACTCATGCTCAGATGGCATAAAGCTAGTATGAAAGTTTGACAATGGCCTTGAGAAGGTAGGACAGTTTAGTGTTGAAGAAATCAATTGGATCCCTCCCCCCTATTTTTATATTAACTATAATATTGTATGGTAGCAAAATTTGTCATAAATTCTGAATGAATAGAAATACATTCATCTTTCGGAACTCTGAATGGATATGCCAAGATAAATACAATGGGGATAGTGATGCAGTTCAGCACGGATTTTCAGAGGGCACACTATTTCATATTTCATAACTAACTCAGCTTTTTGCAGTCCTGGAACAGCAATCTGTGCTCTCTGTCCCTGTCTAGCAAGTCTTCACTAACTACCACAATCTAGCCAACTTCCCAACTATAGCATACCATAAACAACAATTTCCACAGTGATTTCTTGATGCCTACACAATAGGTCCAAATAGGTGGTATTGTTCTATATATAGAGTATCTACTGATAGTACAGTACTGGGTGGCAGGTAGATCTAGAATTTGATCCAGCAGCTTGAGTAAATGTGGTTGAAAGGCTGCAGATATTAGCGTAAATTATATAAACGACATAGCAAAGTTCTTACATGATTTCTGTCCAAACACTAAATGATGAAGATGTATATCTGATATAAAGGTTAGCTCTAGTCCCAATCTGTTTATCTGGATTGGATAATATTAAACATCAGGGTCAAAAAGGGGGAAAAAGCATTTTGTATGGGATAAAAATCGATGGTGCTGCTTGTTAACATGCAAAGACAAAGACAGCCGTTGAAAGACCAAGTACAGAACTACTAGTAGTTTTCTCCACTCTGTTGTGGATGAAAAAAGACTTTGACCACTTTGTACCTTTTTCTGATGAGGGAAGTTGAGTGGCTAAAATGAGACATTCTTCCACATCCTCCAGAGGGATTGACTACAATGCTGGCCGTACCTGAGTCTCTTGTTCTTTCTCAAACCATTTTGGCAGCTCTTGGTAGGATAGAGTAAGAATCTAGAGAATAGTGTGGAACCTGAGGGTGAGACCTTGTTTGAGGCCCTACTAACTGATGGTTCTTCATTCCTGCTCATTATGCTACTGCATCACTCATGGATCCCGCTTTCTACCCATTAAAGAGAACCCAATTATTGCATAAAAAATACTTCAGGTGGCCACATTAGTATAGCTCATATTAGCTTAGTTTGCTCCAGCCAGCAAATATTACTGATTTACTTCTTCCAGTTCAGTGACCCAGCACTTACCTAATCCAGTAAACTGATAGTCCTGCACTGCTAATCCTTGCACACAGGCTGTGTCACTTAAAGTGTGAACTACTGCTTGCTTATCCATGCTGATTTTTTAAAAATATATAGCAGTTCCAACTTGAGAAAGTTTTCTTCTGTCCACCCAATACAGTTATTCCTCTAGAGACAGTAAAATAAGTCATTCTTGCTTTCATGTTTCTCTTATGATTTTAAAATTTTGATTATATTATTTTGGTACTTCTTGAAAAGAACATTTCATTGTCATACAAAAGGAATTGGTCTGAACTTCCAAGTTAATATGAATACTACTTCATATGGCTCTGAGCTTTGAATTTTTATGCATCTTTTTCATTCTTCCCTCCTAATCCCTTTGAGCTAGCTCTGTTTAATAAGATGGCTTGTATGGTGCATACAACATATAGAAGAAAAAGAGCTCTGCAGATTATACCCACTTGTATTATCATAAGATATGAAAAAATATCAGAAGAGTTGTATGCTTTTATGATATCCTAAAAAGATTCAATCTGGCCAAATTCGTCTGTTGTATCTACATAGAACAGCATCCTAGGACAAATTTGGTACCAGAGAATATGCTAAAGCTTATGCATCCATTGATTTGCTACAGTGCAGTGCTTCAATGGGTCTTATGTTGTGTGTTGCAAGAGTCTGGGGGTAATTTCTCTACCTATCAGATACCTGCCTTTTGTCTCCTTAGATAGTCTCCAGTTTCAAAACAACAACATCCAGAGCAATATGTCAGCTAGTGAAAGAGTATATTGGTCATCGAGATGGCATTTGGGATGTCAGTGTCACAAAAACTCAACCTGTGGTCCTTGGGACAGCATCAGCTGGTAATAATCTTATCTATTGTTTCAGCCACAGATTGTATTTTGCATTTCTAATGATTAGATAAGAACAGATTATGGGCTAGGTTTCTATCTATCTATCTATCTATCTATCTATCTATCTATCTATCTATCTATCTATCTATCTATCTATCTATCTACCCACCTACCCACCCACCTACCCACCTACCCACCTACCTTATTTATCATCTTGATAGATGTCCATCTACCTATTCACCCACATCTATCTATCCATCCATCATTTTAATTCCTCAATTCTTTGTTTTTTAATTCTCACAGATCATACTGCTTTGCTGTGGTGCATAGAGACAGGAAAGTGTCTTGTCAAATATGTTGGACATGCTGGATCAGGTAAGAATAAATAAATATTGGTGAATAAGAATCATGAGGGAAAATTATCTGTTATAATGGCATATGTATTGAGTAAATGAAGTTGGCTCTTCTCAGAATCTATAGGAGTTAGGGTAGAAAATCTAAGAACCTCTTTGTAGGAGCCCACATGACCTTATCCATTCTTTACGCCCTTTAGGTGTGCCATTTTAGTAAGCATGAAAAATAAGTTTTCTACCTTTCAGATGTGAGAGTTATTAAGAAGATAAGATCTGTCTTTAAAAAAATCTTCATAATCACATTAAAAAAACTAGATGGTAGAATTCTGCTATGTATTATTTCTGACAGAAGGGGGAATACCTGTTTTTAAAATACTGGTATTCATGTAAAAATCTCGTTCCAAACAGAAGGGCAAATAATAGTTTTTAGAATATATGTAAAAAGTTTTTGGATAGAGATCAAGTACAATAATGATCCCTAATGCACTCAATCCCATATCTAGTTTTTGTCCAATTTTCTTATGCATGGAATCATTTACCCAGGAACCTATATTACAGTATTTATGGACTAGTTCTTCATGGATCGGCTAAACTATTCCTTCTGTTAAGAGATTTTGTTCAGCAGTACTATATGAAGTCTGTTTTTCTCTTAGTAATTATGTTTTTTATTTTGATACTTGAAATTCCCTCTTCAAAAATGGCTTTATTCTCTATTTTCTTTAAACCTATATTTTCCTGTATAACAGGATGAGTAGAGAGATCAAGTTCAAAATGGAAAATTAGGTATTCTTCTAAATTTGTTCTTCTAACATGTTTGTTTTTTCTTTAATGCAGTAAATTCCATAAAGTTTCATCCAACAGAACAGGTGTCTCTTACAGGTATGTAAATGGTGTTTATCCTGCCAAATTATATTTACTCAATACTTGAGAAAAAAGTGTACCTCCTAATTTATTTCAGATTAAGTTGGAATAGGTTTATAGTGCATCTAGGATTTTGGTATTGTGGAAAATCCATTCAGGTTCTTTCAGTGAATGAGAGGAGAAGTTAGTTCTTTCTACTCAATATTTATATTTCCAGATTGAAAAAGAGGGCTTATATATTAGAAAAGAAAGTAATTAGGAAAGAGTAAAGATCACTTACATATCTTGCTTTTCCCACTCCTCTCCTTCTTTGGAGAATTAAAATCAAAATAGCTGTTTACAGAGTGTTAATTTTGTTCTACAGCTTCAGGGGATCAGACAGCTCATATTTGGAGATACATAGTGCAATTGCCCACCCCTCAACCTACCACAGACTGTAATGTAAGTTATGATTTCTAGTATGATTTTTGGGATTCTTAGTGTTTAACTCTATGCAGATGGAAATTAGTATTGGAGAAAATGCATCCCCCCCCCCAAATTCATTTATATCATTGGTGTATTGTTGAATGCCTTATTTAACAAATAGTGGTCTGGCAACATACGGGCCATAAAGTTCTGAAATCATGACTAGCTTAGTATCAGTGGAAACCAACTAATATGTGACACTTCATAAATTTATGAAACCACATTTTTAGTATTTACAGCAATTATATCGTTTCTTGGGAGAGCTGACCCCATCAATTTCCTTGAAACACTGTTGGATTTTCCAGTTGCCATTCAAATGTAGAGCATGACTATAGAGTGGCTTGTTGAATAATCAATCAAAACTTTATAAATGCTTTAAAGGAAATCTCCTTGGGATTATTTAGAAAAATAGTGTTTTTATCAATGTACTTCAGATGTCCCCAAAATAGTTTAGAATCTGAAGAATAGCATCCCTATAGCAAATAATAGGTAAATGATATAGCATTTTGTTTGCAAAATTCATCTAATCATAAACATTCCTTATTGTGTTTTCTGTTCCCCAAGTACTTATACACACTTCTCTATTAAATTCATGTCTTTTTAGAGTCTTCAACAGTTTCCGTGTGTCATATTATCCCAAGCACTTTAAGCTCTTCCTTTTCTCTTTAGAGACCTTTGTGTTTTCCAGAGATATTTTTGATGTCAGGAATTAATTGGATCAACCCATTTAATGTGGAAAATTTCATGCAAATTAAATATTTTCAAAATTAACAGCAAATGTCCGGTGAAGATGAAGTTGAGTTCTCTGATAAAGATGAGGCTGACGGAGATGGAGATGGCTCTAGTGATTGTCCCACCATCCGAGTTCCTTTGACTTCCCTAAAAAGCCATCAGGGTGTTGTCATAGCAGCTGATTGGCTGGTTGGAGGGAAGCAAGCAGTGACCGCTTCATGGGACAGGACAGCCAACTTGTATGATGTAGAGACATCTGAACTTGTGCACTCTCTGACAGGTATCTTTTTTGGGGTGGCGGAGTTTTATTTCCACCCTCCCACATACACTTATTGGCTGGTTGTTGGATGTTGAGTTTAGTTTTCTGTAATGCAAACTTTTCTTTTGAGGGCAAGGAAGACTGAATCCCACCATTTATGACAGTTGTGAAATTCCAAGATGTTATATGTCATTTTGCTGCTTCTTTGAAGTCAGTCATGCTCCTTATCTTGAATACTTGGGAAACCATATAATCTGAACAAGAAAACTTCAAAGAGAAAAATACTATAGTTTCAAGGCTTTACATATTCATTAGGTATTTCTTTTCTGCAACTTTTATTAACTTCTCTTGTGCAGTCTCAGCAGATGGTAGCATTGGGCTGCCTTTTTTTGCAGATAGAAAGCTAAGCAGGGTCAGATCTGGTTGTCATTTGAATGAACCACCAGCAGGAGACCTCTCGGTGTGTGTGTATCTATGTATTATTTATATGAGGCTACATGAAATAGCAATGCTAACTTTACTGTTTTATTTACACGAACAGTGGAACGTCGGATCGCAAGCACTTCTGTTTGTGACCAAATCAAGTTCCGACCCAAAATCCACCTGATTTTTGAATCGGGTCATGATTCCAAAATCGGGTGTTGAACAAACATGGTCGTGGCAGATTACATTTCCGCTCCGATTTTCCCTTCTATGCATGCGCAGCCCACACATTTTTTTGTCTGCGCATGCGCAGTCGGTCATGCTTCCGGTCACGACCAAATCAGGTTGCGATCGTAGTCCTAGAACAGATTACAGTCGCGACCTGAGATTCCACTGTATTGTAAATTTATTTACATTTTTGAACAGATTTTTCTTACAAAGCAGGAATAAAAATTGTCATTATTTTGGTGCAGTGTTTTTATTTCCAATCCTTATAGTTATATAGTTATCCTCTATAGTTGCTACATAATCTTAGTGCACTCTGACTTTATCATTACAGGGAGCAATCTTAAGTTTTTTGACTAGATGTAAAAGTGCAAAAAATCTGCCCATCTGCCTGATTAAAAAAAGATTATGGGTAATTGTCCTTGCTAAAATTTGGCTCAATAAAAGAGTACAGTGAAATTTCAGCTCACTTTATATTTTGCTTTAGGATTAACAAAGTAACTACTTGAATAGGTGATGCCAACATTTTTGTTCCTAGAGAGGTTGAATGTTTTCGATTCATGCAGTTTCCAAAATGGTTTTAGCAAGTTTTAGCAATATCTATTTTAGCAATTGGTTTTCTGAGGATTGGTGATGGGATTGAGTTGTTAGGGTTGCTTTTGGTCCTTGAAGTGTAGAATTATCTAGGTAGTTTTCTTGTTCAGATTATATGGTTTCTTCTAGCTTTCCTAAACCAGAGATGGAAAAAAATGATGTGGCTAAATTACAATTTCCAGCATCTTTTACTGTTAACTTTGCTTTCTCAGTTGCTGGAACAATCTCTGTTCATCTAGAACAGAGATTGGCGACCTTTCGGTCTACCAATGACACTTAATGTTGAGGTATATGATAGATAAGATATTAATGCAACTTGCAGAACAGATTTTTTTTTCATTTCAGGATCAGGAAGTGTAATTTCCTTTTCGGGGAAAAAGAATCTTTTCTAGAGCCAAATATTCCTTTTTTTCCAGCACCTTGCCTCAAAACGATAGTGTACTACCAATTTCTATGCCATAAAAATGAGTTAGCATAATTGGAAAAATCCAGAGACCAGGAGAAAAAGGTGTAAATGCACATTAAGATATTTGAAGGTTTCATAGCCATAGCTCTAATCCTAAACTAGTCCTTGTTTTCAGGCCTTGACATTGTAGATAGCGCTAGTGTGTTTCTGCTGGTAACAAGTTTACCATTTTTTAATAGTTTATTGGTAGATCATATGATTGCAACTGAAAGAAAAATGGATTAGCTGACATACAGACGTTGCAACATTATGACTCTGTAATCCTAAAATAAAACAAGGATTAATTGCTGTGCTTTATAGTAGACTCGCTACCTTTATAAGCAGTAATTTTAGCAGCCCCAAATTAAACTGCATAGAACTGGAAACTTGTTTAATATTAGTGTCTGAACATTTCTTATTATAGAGGAAAACGTAGTAGCTGGTCTAATATAAAAAATACTTCTGTGATTGTCACAGATACATAAATATCTACAGATAGCAGGCTGCATTATGTGTTTCTGAAAGCATGCAAGAAGCGATGGCCCCTGCTTTATTTAATCATGGATACCATTTTCATATACCGTATTTATCGGCGTATAACACGTACTTTTTCCCCCCTGAAAATAGGGGGCAAATGATGTATGCGTGTTATACGCCGATATAATGTTAAGAAGCCTTCGGTGAATGCTGCTGGGATCGGGGATCAAGGACACAAATGAAAGAAGGGGAGGGAGGAAGCAACCGAAGCCTGTCCTTCTCTCTGGGTCAGCTCTCTCAGTCGCTCTCTCGCTCCTCCACCAGCACAGGAAGAAACTGCTTCTAAGAGGGGGGGGGGGGGGGCTTTTCCTGTCGCCGCAGCTTCCCTGAAGCGCCCGTTTCTCCCCCACCCCGTCCGCCCACCCGCCCGCCCGCAGTGCTCCGTTCTGCCTGCCTGCCTGCCTTCGTTAATGGTTGAATCGGAACAGCTTCGGCTGAGTAAAAGAGGCGAATAGTTATTATTCTCAGCCGAAGCTGCTCCCAAACAACCAGAAACTAAGGCAGGCAGGCAGGCAGGCAGAATGGGACACTGTGGATTGAAGCGCGCGCGCGGGGTGGGAGTGGGGGTGAAACGGGCGCTTCGGA